ATAGCTTTTTCCTGCTGCGGTGATTCGGCTTGCATGGCAGACTGCTTTCTCAGTCCCATCCGGCAATTTATGCAGACTGCTTCAATTCCATAGTCTGATGCATCGGCAGCGTGCAACTTAATGCCTTTTCGCATTCTTCTGTCCATTTGAAGGGCAAATTCTTTCTTGAGTAACGCGTCCAATGGTGCTCGCAATTGGTGAATCTCGGCTATGGGTGATCTATAGTAGTTGATCATGCCTAGGAATGAGCGAACATCTGGTGTATTCTTCGGTGCTGGCATTTGGCGGATAACCTCACCTTCTTTGGTCCAGGTGGCGTCCATTCTTGTCTATGATGCAAAAAAACAAATCACTGGCATCAAGAAGTAACATTTTTCCAGCTGGATTTGAAAGTACTTCCTGATCCTTTTGAGCAATGCATCAAATTTCTGCGATGTTGCTCATAAGTTTTTCCGATAACGATAATATCATCAAGGTATGCAGCTATGCCCTTTAATCCACTTATCATAGAATCCATGATCTGGAAAATACCTGGTGCTGATTTGACTCTCTTGACTTTGACTGAAAGGAGGTTGTAACGAAAAAATCCCTTATGTGAATTTATTGTCAGCATCTCCCTTGATGCTTCTTCTACTTCTACCTGCAGATGTGCTTCTGCCAGATCAATCTGCGTGAAGAGCTGCCCTCCATTAAGTTTCGTGAACACATCCTCAGCGGTGCAATGGGTGCTGATGCAGCTGCAATGCATCGTTTAGCTCTGTCTAGAAGTCCGCACATAAACGGATCTTTCCATTTTTCTTCTTGCCGACAACTACAGGCGCAGCTCATTCTGACTGTTCTAATGCAGAAGTCATTCCTCTGCACCAACCGATCGATTTCTGCCCATCAGTTCTGCCTCGCTTGCGTATGGAATTGGTCGCTTTTTATTGAAGACTGGAATTAAATGGTCTTTCAAGAATAGCTTTGCTTTGCTCTTCGTCATTTTTCCAGTCCATACTTGAAAACGTCTGCATACTTCTTCAAGTCTGCGACGACCTCCGCTCAAAACTCTTCTTTAGTCGCCTTCGGGCATCGGTACTTGCCGACAACTGGATGCACCATTCCAATCCTAGTAGTTTCGTACCTTCCGCGTAGCATGTTCCATTTCCTTGGATATTCTTTTCTGTAACACGATCTCTGAAGGCAAAGTCGGTAAGAAATTTACCATCGATCTCCATCGGCGTTCCGTCTGCCATTTTCAAGTATGATGGTAGGTTCCAGGGTAGATAATCCGATACTCTTCCAGCTTCGGCGTGATATTAAAGTTATATCAGCGCCTGTATCCAGTTGAAAGTGCAGGGAATACCTATTGATAACAACGTCGAGATAGGTTCTTGATTTCTTGGCGTCAAACGCAACATCGGTTTTGCACTGTCTCCTGCGACCATAGAGCTGCCCTGTTTTGCGTCGCTTCTTCTGACCTGCGGAAGCGGAGAGCGAGCGTTTGCTTCTGAAATATGGACCTCCACACCTGAAGCATCCTTTTCCTTCCACAAAGCATGGATCTCGCGAGTTCCTTCCATGTCCATGTTGTCCATTTCTAACGCGGTAAAATTCTCAAATTCGTTAAGCAGGTCCTCAATCGTCAGCGGAGTGTCATCCGCATGTGAGTCAGTCGGCGAATCATGGCGAACTTTGAGTGTGGGGTCCTGAAGACTACAAATTGTGACGTCTTCGTCGCCATGTAGTCGAGTTCCTTAAGTCGCTCGTCCTTGTCCGTTTGCTTGATTGTGTTGGCCTACTTCCGAAACGGCATGTACGTTTGTCAATTTTGGACCCTAAGGCACTCCTACATTCTCCCTACCAATATCTTCTTAGGGGCGAACAGCTTCTGGAGATTCGCGACTCGTTGTATCAAAATCCAGTTCATGTGGTTGTATAGGCAGAATCTCATCTGCATACTTCCGATATGCGTCCTCATCTAGCTTCACGAGGATCAGATAGCTTTTTGTTGTCCGGCAAAGCGTCGCGTATGACCGGCCGTACCTGTTGAACCGATGGGTGAATATGCTACCTGTCTCTCCCTCTGACACGTACTTTTGTGCGTCGCTGCTCAGCTATCATATTACATTTTTGCTGGCGTCTTGGACGGTATCACCTGGGCTGGCAAACATTGTCTTCATTTTGTCGTGCTGCACCTTTATTTCTTCCTGCTGGAGACGCATCTGCTCGACCATGACGATCTTCTCCATTAGGGAATCATAACCACACCGTTCTAATGCAAATTAAGGCATGGCTGACTTCTCTGAACTCGTGGCAACGACTTCTTTCTTTTTTTCTCGGAGGCTTCTTTATCTTGGAGGCTTCTTCGTCATCCTTGATCGGTAGAGAATTCTCCTTCGTTTTCAGCTGATGGTTTCTTCTTCGTCCTTCTTTTTCTTCGCCCTTGATCGGTGGAGACTTTTGATCTTAATCCTGATCGCCAAATGTTGTCTGTCTTTATATACAAAAGGCTGAAAGGCCTCCTAAACAATCACAATGAAACCTATGGAACATTTTTGAATGAACAGCATAAGACATGGCGCACATCCCGTTACCCTGAGTATCACGTATAGCATTGGGAAAATACAGAGATAGAACAAGTTACAATAACTAGATACAGTCCCTAGAACAACTTCGCTTATTTCATCTTTCTTACATTAGTTTAAGAACAAACTCCACTCTGATTTTTGCTTCTTGCCTCAGGATAGTAGGGGGTACTGGCTTTTGAGAGCTGGAATGTCAGATGGAAATCAAGAGATTTCTCATGTCGTTGGGAACTTTTTACTTGCCCAGCTGGCTACAGACTACCCTGTAACAATTTCTTTTTCAAATAAGGCATGGATATGAGAGCACGCTCCCAACATGGAAGCTATGACGCTTATTGCTCACTAATTTTTTTGCGTTAAATATTCAAACAATTGAGTTCTGGTAATACAAATAGTAATGATATCAACTTGTTAATGACCAACTCTCATTCGTTATCGTTACCCATTTGCAGTTATCGAAGAATGTGGCACGCTCTAGTAGATGAGCTTGTACCTGTTTTGCCTCCATTTTCACTCTTGACTGGTCAGCGTCCTCAATCAGAAGTTCTTCTGGTGAGAGTTTAAGCAAAAGTAACAGAAAGTGCGAGACTGTAGTGTACTAATAAAAACAACTTCATGACCAGGTCCTGGACAAACGCCCGCAATTTCTCTCACCTTTGACGGACATCACTGTGTGTGAAGGTGAAGATGTAGTTCTTAGGACGAAAGTCAGTTCAGCTTCTCCATTTACAGTCACTTGGCGAGGACCAGCCGTGCACCCGGAAAGGGCTGTAGTAGAGGTACGCAGTTTGCGTTGCAAATCTTTATTTATCAAGTTATATTTGAAGGATAACTTTTCTAGACAGATGATGGTTACACACTCTTGAGGATTCCTAAAATCGTGCCTCTAGAGTGTGGTCCTTACTCAGTTGTCGCTGAGAACGAGCATGGCTCGTCTTCGTCGCTTGCCTTTGTCAAGGTTATTGCGCGTCCCGGTAAATACACATATATTTGTGTCAATCTCGACAGGAGATTATGTTTCAGAGGCTCCTTCTGCTGTGGTATGTGAGCGAGTTGGCCGCAATGCTCTTCTCCTAAGCTGGAGCCCCGCCTCAAAGTCTGGCTCCCTTTTTTGCGTGGAGTATAGAAGCGAAGGTTGAGTGGCCCTCACAACGGCGATTGAGAGATGGATCAAGTAGTGAAAAACACTGAGAACCCTGAGAACCACATTATGGAAATGGAGGGAGGGAGGCTTTCATGTTCGGGATTTTAGACCAAAAAGGTCAATCGAATCATGTAAAAGTCGATCTACATACAACTGTTGCAGAAAGTGATATTTTTATTCCAAAATTGTGCTCGTCTTGGACTGTTCAACCTACTTGAAACTAGTTTCTTTTTTGGCTAGCTACTTTTGATTAATCTTCAGCCGCAGGTTTTTGATAATTGCAACATAAAAGGCAATGAGATGGGCTGAGTTATCTATGCATCAGCTGCATTTGCAAAAATTTTCTGAAAGGGATACAGGGGAAGATGGCCAAAGACTTTGAGGATAGGGAAAGGTGACACTTTTTAACCAGTTGTGAGATATTTTTTGTAAATTTGTTGTTTTTCAGTGAATTTTAAAGCTGGTTTGTTTGTGAATGAATAGTATATGCAATCGTCCTTTTCATTTGAATAGTTGGTCCACTTTCCAGTAGGAAGGGAAGTGATTATTGTAGTAACAGTAGTAATAATAATAAGGATGAGAACGCTAATTTTACTAGGGATTACTGAGGTTAAACAAGATTACTAAGATACTCTTGGGCAAAGATTGTAATTATTCAAAAAAGAATTCTGTACATTTAAGTCACAATCCTTGAGAAAAGCTAGACTCACAACAAACTAGCTGCTCAGAATGCTTTAAATAGCAAATACCGAGGTAACGCCCCTGGTTGGGAGAATATATCAGACTTGCTTT